AGGATTGATCTTGGTAGCGGCTTCCAGTGTAGGGATTGTCAAGGGAGGGGTCCTCCTGTATCAATATGTTGAGTGAAACGGTGGAGTTTTTGTTGTCTTTGTTGTGTGTTGCAACATGGAAGTTCCTTCAATGTTGGGTCTCAGACGGAGTTATAGAGTTTTGGTGGAATCGTGGCTTTTGATTGTCGTTTGTGTATGGTAAGTGGAGGGAGGAAATTTCGATTGCGTCATTCACGACGAGCGATCGACGAATAGCAGGCTTGGGTGTCTTGGATGTTGTCATTGGTGTTTATTGGAGGATTCAGAGGGGTCGTTGTTTGACTATTTAAATTTCCCTTTAAGTCATCTGGCGCTTCAAAACTGCGATCTTCGGGATTTTTTCAAAATTAGTTGGTGGATTGCGGGAAGTTAATGGGATGTTTTAAATGCAGGAGTTCATTAACAGTCGTTTGAAGAGCCGGTTTGCAGCATTTTGCATGTGAGCAACTTTATGCGAATAGAATTTGGTAGAGATATCGTCAGGTGGAGGTTGGGTAGTGAGAGGTGGTGGAGTGGCTTGTTGAATCTTGGATGTTATAGATTGAATCTTTGCAATTGCAGCGTATGAAGGAGAGGTTCCAGATGACTTTCTTAGTTTCTTCTTTCAGTTTCTTAGAGAGGATATCCTTGTGCACTGGACATTTGGCTGCAAGAGTATGATGGTCACTCTTACAGTTGATGCAAGTGGGAGCAGCAGTGGAAGTGCAAGAACGAAAATAAGGAGCAGTTGATCACCCTTTAGTTAATGCATTATCTAATTCATACTCGGTGAACAGGCAATCACACTCATCAATATTTTGGCTCATAAAATTAATCAATGTCAACATTTCTTCAGAAGCACTCTCTAAATTTTTTCTAATATGAGATGGAAGGTTTTCATGCCTGGATGTTTTGGACCAGTCATTTATGAAGTCATTTGCTTTTTCAAGAGGAAAGGGATGAGCAACATTGCCAGTCTTTTTCCTGGTTATTTTATTTATACCTTTCCAAGCCAAACTTAAAAGGGTGGACCTATTTAATCCACTAACAAACTGTTCCCATTCCTATTGCCTAAGTTCTTGCTTTCTATTCCTTGCATTTGTTAGTGCAGCTTGGAAAGTTCTGAGCAGGTCTGGGGTTGTATATTCACAGTATGCTTTACCAATCCTCCTAGTTGCATGTGTGATATGTTAACACACATTGTAACCTTTGCAAAGAAAAATATTTTATTTATTTAATTTATTTATTTAATTTATTTATTTATTTATTTATTTATTTAAGGAACCTCCCTTGAGGGGGAAGTATGCATCCTGAAATTTTGTTCGTATCCAGAAACAAAAAAATCGACCGAACGATGGTTCGTATCCTGAAAAGTTCGCATGGTGGGGCGTTCGCAAGCCGAGGTTCCACTGTAGTTTTTATGGCTTGACATGCTGTTGAAGTGTGAGAAAGATAACATTTATGAAAGGATCTGGGGAAACCAGTTAACTGGATCTGAGTCATGGAGGAGAGAAATACTGTACAACAGTGTCTACACTGAGGGAACTGTGGTGATTTTACAGTTCAGAAAGGCATTTGAATTATATATGCATGCTTCTGGCAAGAAAACTACTGAATGAGTGAAAAATGATTGTACTTTATGGTGCCCCGTGGCCTGGTGGCAAAAGCTCTTGCTTCACACGGCGAGGGTCTGGATTCAATTCCCAGTGAGGGTAGAAACATTGGGCGAGGTTCTTTACACCAGTTGTCTATGTTCCCTATCAGTAAAATGGGTACTTGGGAGCTAGTCGACTGGTGTGGGTCACATCCTGGGGACAAAACTGACCTAAAATTGCCCAAAATGCTCTGTACAACAAACAGCTTTCTACGTAGTAGCTTGTCAGTGTTGTCAGATTTTTTGTATACCTTGTACATGTACTTGTAGAAATAAAGATATTATTATTATATTATTATATTATTATTACTTCCTTTTTGGGGGGAGGATGGGGGGGTCCCCTACCTCTGTTGGAAATGGCCAGTGTTAAAAACTCAATGTCAAAATCCCAAAGTATACATTTACTCTCAGAATCTGAGGAACATCCAAATAATGTGAATTATCAGTGTTCCTTAAGAATGTAATCCCTTTAAAAATTGTTACCCCAGTTCCTCATGTTCCTTCTCTCCACTTATCGAATGCACCGACTGAATTCTAGACTTGGTTCACTCTCTGGTGGAGCATGTCATATTTTGCCTAGGCTCCACAATTTCATTACATGCTACTCTAGAGTGGATTAGTTAGGTTGTCGTGTGGGGGTTCAAAACGTGGATTGGGTAATAAACACTCGCGGAGGACGTCAAGTACGTATATTAGATGGAATATATGGGAACACCTCGCCTGACCTGCGTCTACCCTAACGTCTCCACTTCAACTGACTCGCGAGTGCTTAGGGGTGAGCAGCACACAAATCATGCTAGGTCAGCTGTAACAGTGAATAACAGTCAGTGATTCACGCAGGAGAAGAGAATCAGTAACGGTCGGTGTACGAGTCATTACTACTGACACTACTGGTAACTGGTACTGGTATACTGAGAAGGTTGATTAACTACAAAATGCATATAACAGAATTTATATTATTTTATGTAAACCACAAATTATCATATTTTCATATCAAACTCTCTAAACTGACTTGTACAGGCTTAGTTAGCCAATTTTAAGTTAAATGAGAACTTTGCTTGGATTTATATATTTTTTTGTTCTCTAGCTCTTACGGTAATTAAAATTCTTGGCTACTCTTTCTATTTCGTCAGCAAATTTTATTTTCTTGATCACCACAGTTTGCTTTTTCACCACATTAATATACATACAGTATTCATAAGGAAATGCTAAATCAACAGGAGTCATACATTACCTGGGGAATGAGGTATATTCAGGCCTGATCTAAAGAAAGAAATGGAAATTAATTTCTTGGACCAAGAGCCCATCTCTAGCATCATGGAGCCTTCCTTGAACAGCCTCTTCTTTACAGTACTGTCCACAATTAGGGTAACAATTTACAATAAACAAAAGCATATCACTTGTCAAGAAAATGGACAGATTCTCTGCTACTGGAAAATCATGAGCCTCATAAATTTAAAACCAGGCAGAGGTTATGCAGTACAGTAAACAGTATTTACATAGCCCCTGTTAGCACTTCATGCCATAGTGAGTTGGCCTGGTGCTGCCATCTGGAAGGCTCAGTTCAAACCTAGGCCTAAGTCAACAAGACCCAGCATGGGCTGACACTGAAACACTGACTACAACATTCTGGATATATTAAATGTACTTCAAAATCCACTTTGATAAGGGATTCTAAAATTAAAAAATTCAGAGGGTTGCAGTTAAGTAAGCAAGCAAGTTTTCTTAGTTACTTGAACACAAATAGTTACCAAATTATCATACTTAGTAACATGTGTAAATATTAGGAAAACCCCCCAATAAAGTCAATACAAAGTGACTTATTTCCATTGGGGTCCTTTTTGTCTGTTACTTCAGGCAAAATCTCATCTCTATTCACCCCCAACTGCCTCTACCAGCCCCCTGCTGCCCCATATAATCCTTTAAAATTTAAGATTTACTACTGGGTTATCATTATTATTGTATTATACTACTAAGTTCATGTTAATGGAAACACTTCATGTGTACCATATGCATTTTATGCAATGTTAGGGTATCATACAGTTTTATAAAAATACATACTCTTATCCTATTCAATACTCAATTTTTTGTATACATAGTTCCCATTTTGGATATTTCCTATTGTTGTTTATTACTGTAAACAAGAGGGAGCGCTAAACTTGTAAGATTTGCAGTGCCTGTTGGGGGGAGGGGATTTGGAAGGTATTCAGGCTAATTCAAGGGAACTGGGGCCACAGATCCAATTCCCCAGATCAAGAGCCCCTCACCAACGTCAAGGAACCTTCCCTGAGGGGTCCTATTGTTGTATACATTCTGTTTTTGTACAGATATTATCCAGTTCTTGTATATTCTCCTGTTCTATGTTTATCACTTTTTCTTTATTTATATTAGCCTGCATATTACTTAGGGCCATGCACCTAGCCAAACAAAGAGAGACACATCTACCAATGGTAGAATAAGGTTAAGTAACAAAGTTATTTTCAGTAGACAATGACAAAAGCCAATAAGTGGGGATCAAGACACTGGTAGCAGTGGATCGTTGTATTACAACATATTACTCAAGGCTGAGCTTCTTCATGGTCCAGCCTTAGAAGAAATGTTATATTAAAAGGATTCTTGACTACCAGTGTCTATCTCCAGGTTATTCTGGGTAGGGTTAGGCCAGTTTTATTTGGTTTGGTTACTTTTTTTTTTACCATTTGCTCAAACGCAAAACCATTTCAAACTGATTAATGGCTGAACACCGCAAAGATGTTATTCATTACCCAATACTGCTTTAATGTAGTTTTGTTACTTAAAATAATTATTCATTACATTTAATAATCTAACCGTAATTACATTAAATTTAGCATTCAAGTAATTTAACTTCCACTATACAAGTAAATACTATCAACCAGATTTAAAGTTAAAGTTTTAATCTGCCCAAAATGCTCTGCATAACTAAGGGCCTTTCCACGAAACTACAAATAGAAAACAATTTCTAACACTAATAAATCATCTTGTAAAACAAGTGTTGTTGTTGTTGTGTAATAATGGTTAGCAGGCAGCACGTAGCTCACCCAACTACCAGCTGCAACATACTTTACATCCTTACTAATTATATTTAACGTATTTATACAATAACATCTGCAAAATTTGGGTGCAAGTAAGACTGATATGTACTGGAATGAAAACGACTTTCCTAACTGGCAAAGAAAATGGTTTTCTGGAGGAGCCAGAGCACCAGATGTTGAACCTGAACAACACGAAGGACGAGACAAAACAAACTATATAACACTTTATACTAAATGAATAAAGAACGTTTGGATGTCAGGTGTTTCAAACTTACTTGCAGGAGGATGTCCAGCTTTGACTTCAATTTCATCACTAGATGACATGATGCGTAAATGTTTAATAACGTACAAAATGCGTCAGAGTCGTAGCACCAGCTGACAGTGGGTGTTGGTGGTGCCGCTGCTGCCACCTGCTGGACCCACACTTAACCCACCGCCAACTCAACCTCACCCGCCCTATATGAAATATTGGCTATAGTTACCCACCAATATTCGGCCGAACCCGGGCATTAACCTGCATTTTACAATATACAACCTATGTTCACCAAGTAATAAGTATTTACTCTTGGTGCAGATTGTTATTTGTTATAAATGTATGTTTGTATCACTAATTGTACTACCTCATATTAATAATAGAGTGAAATACAGAATATTTGTATTATACCACCGTAAAGGAACTTAATTACATACTTAAAAATGTAAGATTGCATAATAAATTGTACTACCGCTGTGAGGGAAAAGTAGGCGTAAGTGGGGTTAAGGTTGTTCAGACAACCAGGAACCATTAGCGAGTTACGTCACGCACCCCCCCCCCCTCTGGCGGGCTGGGGCGAAACTAGTTCTTGGTGTCATGATTTGTTCAAACTTCTACTCCTGGTAATATTGACCTTACCTGGTGTGGGTTGAAGTTTGGAGAGTCACTTCACCTCCACTCTTCTCCTAGTGCTGCTGGCATACCAGTGTTTCCTGTAGTGGCTTAGTTAAGAACAACTTAACGAGCATTGCAGTACTGACTTTTTAAGTGGGACATGCCAGAGGTTCACCTATAAACATAATAAGATAAGATTAAGAGATAGGATTTCGTTCGGATTTTTAACCCCGGAGGGGAGTTTGTGCTAGAAGTGTTAAGTGCTGCAGATTTGTTGTAACTATTTGCACGAGTGGATTTCACTGACTTAGGACATTGTGCTACCATCAGTACCTACGTAGGCTTAAAATGAGTGAGGAATGTCTGGCCTGCTGGGTGACCTTGAAAATGGCACTATAAGACCCGCATGCCACTTACACCCATACTGCGTGTGTCTAGTGAGGTGAATGTCCCTTCCTCGACTTTCCTATTCACCGGTATCCCTTAACTCGTCGCCATTATCTACATATGGGATAAGGGCGAGTTTAGCTGATCCAGGCTAAACAGCGCTCCAAGCCAGCCTTTGTGAACGTTCTACAGTGTTCCGGCCGTACCTTCGGTATTGTGAGAACTAGTTCTTATGTAGTGAAAATTTGTCTGTCATTCCAAGACACGTGTGCTAGATGTGTTAAGTGCTGCGGGTTTGGAGTAATTAACAAGTAGTACAGGGTTGGTAACTCTCGAGACGACTGTGCGCCCAGTGAATGACCTTGAAAATTGCACTGCGACCTGCAGGCCACTACAGCCACATTGCCTGTGTCTAGCGAGGTGAATATCCCTTCCTTGTCCCTCCTCTTTCCTCGATTTGGAACTCAGCCGTTCGCCTCTATTTGCTTGTGGTCTAGAGGCGGTTTTTGCCAGACCACATGGGTGCTTGAGTGCCCGTGTCCTCTGTGCCGCACTCCGCTCAGGTTGCGAGTGTCTCCTGTGTGCCTGCCTGCCTGCTGCAAGCAGGTGTCCGGGTGGTTGGCGCGGGCTTGGTGAGCACAGTCAAGCAAGCTTGAGGGCAGCACTAAAAGCTAGCCAGAACAAGCTAAGGCAGCCTGCAGTTATAGTTGTCCTAGGGCCCAGCATGTCTGTGTATACGTTCTGCAGTGCTGCTGGCATACCAGTGTTTCCTGTAGTGGCTTGAGAACAATTTGACGAGCATTGCAGTGCTGACATTTTGAGTGGGACATGCCAGAGGTTCACTTACAAACATAGTAAGTTTGTGGTGATTGGCTTGTACACAGTGAACATTCATCTGTCATACTTGTGCTAGAAGTGTTAAGTGCTGCTTTCCCCAACAGTTAATTGTCATTTGTAAGCCTGTATTAAGACTTTAAAAGGCTCAGTGTGCTTCAGTGTAGCGACTCCTTACATTTGATAAATCAGTAATACATGCTCTGCTCAGTGTAACTGAACTATTAAATACGGTTACATAATTAAATTGCTTGTCCTAGTGTCATTGCTGTGTTTTCTAATACATTTTCTCGTTCAGACAAACTTTACTGCTAAATTCCCAGTAATATTTCAAATTGCAGTGTTCATCTGTGGTGTGAGTGTGTAACTTATGCTTTGTATTTTTACTGTGAACAATCTTACTCCTGCATAATGTTCAGTTTCATGAATACTTTTTCTCTTGAGTAATTCGGTTACCTTTCAACCGTGTTAAGCAAGAGTCAGCCTGTTAACATCTATGTTCCTTGCCATCTCATCTAGTGGGTCTAGCGCCTAGTTAAAATTGTAATAGTAACAATTTGCAATCATTATACCTCTAGTTATACATTGTGTAAATTGTTTTAGACTATTTGATCAACTGGATTGTAGTGTTTAACTTCTGATACACCAATTTAATGACTGCAGACACGCACTGACACATAATAAACACATTAAAACGCTGGTACCTCTACAGAAGCTGGGCCTAGTGTGTGACTTTGAGAAGTTGAGTGTGTTTATTACGACCAGCGGTGGGACCACTCTCACTTATATTTACACAAAAATGTTTG